TAGCTGATACAATTTGTACAAAGGAGTACAGTATAACAATTTGGTGTACGTGCCAAAAGCCCCTTTATATGCAGAGCATTTCGGGCAAACTTAAGATTAATTTAAGATTAATAAGGCAATATCGGTGTAATAACTGTACATATGGTCATTAGGCGAGTTACAATGATTACAAGAAAACTGAATATTCTATTAGTTCATGTTATATGGCTTTAGTAAGTTTAGTAGATAAAAATTACAGTTTTGATTATTAACCTAAGGAACAGAACTCCATCATTAAGTGAGGAGAGGCTGTACTGTACAGTATATTAATCCGTAAACGGTCCAAACGTATATATACGTTTTTTCAACATTTGAAAGTATGTAAAAAAAGTAGATCTTCTTTTTGTTTTTTACATTTGAAAATGTGTAAACAAACTTTGATCTACCTTTTTTTTTTTGTTATATTTGAAAATATGTAAAAAAAACGTAGATCTATTTTTGTAGCACTACACATGTGAACGTAGATCTGCTTGGACCGTTTACAGGTTAATTTTGTAATGTTCTGTGTAATTTTTGCAACAATGAAATTTGTATCTAATTTGGCATTTATTATTTTTTATTATTATTCTAATTTGGCATTTATTTATTATTTTTTATTATTATTCTAAAAGATATCATACCTGATGAATCATCGTTGATTCTGGCAGTAGTTAACTTCAATGCAGACTCAATGGTGTTGGGAAACAGCATGTACCAAATAAGGTTCAATATGGGTCAACAAAAACTAGTCTTCAACTCTGAAAACTAAGTCTTTTCTGGAAAATAGTATTGTATGCTTTAGTTCAACTTTTTTTTTTTTTTTACCATTACTCAATATATGAACATAAGAATGGAGGAACACTGCAGAAGGCCTAGTGGCCTATACAAGGCAGGTCCTTATCAAAACCACCACTACCCAAAGCTACCCAAGAATTTACTCCCATGACCCATGACACCAATCAAACTCAGTCCCTCTCACTCATATATTTGTCCAATCTCTTTTCAAAGCTATCTGAGGTCCTAGTCTCAATCACCCTACTCGGGAGATTGTTCCATGCATCCACAACTCTGTTCAAAAACCAGTACAGTACGTACTTACCTATGTCCTTTCTAAACCTAAATTTATCTAACTTAAATCCGTTATTTCTGGTTCTTACCTGGTTTGATACCCTCAGTATTTTATTAATGTCACTTCTGTTTATGCCCATCATCCACTTATACACTTCGATTATATCTCCCCTCATTCTGCGTCTCTCCAGGGTAAAGATTCAAGACTTGAAGTCTATCTTCATAAGGGAGATGCCTTATACAGTGAAACCTCAGTTTCGTAACTAATCCGTTCTAAAAGGTGTGATGAAAACTGAATCGTACAAAAACTGAAGCAATATTTCCCATAAGAAATACAGTGGTACCTTGAGTTACGAACTTAATTCGTTCCAGATGGCTGTTCAAGTGCTGATACAGAACGAATTTGTTCCCATAAGGAATAACGTAAATTAGATTAGCAAGTTTCAGACCCCCAAAAATACACTTACAAAAGCATTTACAAAAATACACTTACATAATTGTTCAAGTTGGGAGCTGTCAAACTCGAGGTACCACTGTAATGTAACTCCAATTAATCTGTTCCAGATGCCCAAAAATATTAACAAAAAATACATTTTATAGAGAATAACTACAGTTTTACATACAGAAAACATTGAGAAATAAATTAAATGACTAATGAAATGGATAAATGAACATTTAACATCACTTATACCATTATTGAAGATTCTTGTTGGCGTATGGAAGACGGTGAGGAGGGGAGAGGGAGGAGAGGTTATTGTTTGGAAGGGAAATCCCCTTCCATAAGGACTTCAGTATCAAGGCCCTATCCAGGTTACTGCCCTTCTTTGTCTTTTACTGGCAGTAGGACCAGCTTGAGAGTCACTGTACCCCTGTTGCACAAAAAATCTGTCCAGAGAGGTCTGTTTCTGGCATCTCTAAGATTTGCCTAAAAAGGGACAAGTCAATGTCTTTGAACATGTTGCAGATACGGCTTGCAACAGCTTTGTTAGGGTGATATTTCTCCACAAAACTTTGCAACTCACTCCACTTTGCATACATGTCCTTAATCACTGAAGAAGGCACATTCTTCCCTCTCTCTTCCTCCTCCTCCGAAGCAATTTCCTCAGCTGCGGTCTGTTGCTGTTCCAGTTGAAGGTCTTGCAGCTCTTCAGAGGTTAGCTCTTCCCTGTGGTCATCCACCAACTCTTCCACATCCTGGCCACTCGCATCCAACCCCATGGACTTCTCCAAAGACACAATATTCTATCGCATTCCTCACCTTCTTTATCAAAGGGCTGACACTTTGAACTTTATTTAGCAGTTGCACTCAATAAACAAGCACAAACAACAATGGATTACATGTATTACAAAATGTTTTGGATGAACGTGCGGGATGAAGCTCACTCAACAAGAAACAAAGGCAAACTGAGTCACAAACGCATGTGATGCTTTGTGTGGACGCTTGAGTGGCAAAGTCACATGGACGCATTTGATAAGGACCATTTTCAACTCTACGAAAACCGCGCGGTATGTATGAAAACTGGGACAAAATTTTGACGAATTCTACGAAAACTGGGGCATATGAAAACCGAGGTTCCACTATGCAGTAAATCATTTTAGTCATTCTTCTCTGTATGTTCTCCTATGAATTTATATCCATCCTGTAGTAAGAAGACCAAAACTGAACAGTATAATCTAAATGAGGCCTCACTAGTGATGTACAGAGCTGTAAAATAACTTTTGGACTGCTGTTACTTATACATGTACTTCTTGAAATAAATTCTAATAATCTGTTAGCCATATTGCACACACTTAAGGCACTACTGTCTTAGTTTTAGATTTCTGCATACCATGACTCCAAAGTCTTTCACACTGAAAATGAAATGAAAATATTTACTTCCTTGCAAAGCTTACAATGTGTGGTTTACATATTAGTATAAAATATTAATTACAAAGAAAGTCACTAGCAAGCCTAGGCATTTCGGGCAGACTAATCCTACGGATTGTAATAAAGTTGGTAGAATTACCGACAATATGTAAAGTAAAAGGACACAAGTGCAACTAATGTGACATTTTATTGTGGCAACGTTTCGCTCTCCAGGAGCTTTATCAAGCCATTATGGCTTGATAATGGCTTGATAAAGCTCTTGGAGAGCGAAACGTTGCCACAATAAAATGTCACATTAGTTGCACTTGTGTCCTTTTACTTTACAGACTAATCCTAATTCTTACTACATGTATATATTGACACAGGTTATGGAGCAGTACATTTTAATTTACATTATTGTATACTGATATGAAAGTTAGGTAACTAAAGTGATTAATTAGATTTATAATAGTGAGGCAGTACAAAACATATAACAATACTACAATTAGTAATTTAGTACAGTAATGGAAATGGTTTTATCTTGGCATGATACACTGTTTCTATAAAAGCTCCTATATTGGGAGAGTATTTCAGGCAAACTTAGGACTAACTTGAGATTTATTAGGCAATAGCTAAATTAGGAATTTATGTTTACAGTCATTTGGGTGAGTGTAAGTGTAAAACAGGAGGAATTATGGATAACAAAAGTCTATTTCGTTTTGGATGTGTTCATGATACAAAAAAAAAAGAACAGGTGGTTGTCACATAGCAGTTAGCTGATGAAGGGGTGTGTTAGGGAGACTTTTTTTAACGGTGGCTTTGAAAATGGTGGTCGAGTCTGCAGTTCTAGAGTTTTTGGGCAGGGAGTTCCAGATTTTAGGCCCTTTTATGTACACTGAGCTTTTGTAGATATTTAGCCGGACACGAGGCATGTCACAGAGATTTTTGTGTCTTGGTATTGTGTCTATGGGTCCTGTTGCAACTATCATGAAAGTGTTTTAGTTCAGGGTTAATATTAGAATTTATGGTTCTGTAAATATAGGTTGCATAGTAGTAGGTGCAAATGTTTTGTACAGTAAGTTTAGGTCTTTGAAGAGTGGGGGGGGGGGTTGTCTAGCATTAGATTGCGTATAAATTCTTACTGCAGCTTTTTGTTGGGTTATTATTGGCTTTAGGTGGGTTGCTGCTGTCGATTTCCAGGCACAAATAACATAGGTAAGGTAGGGATGGATGAGTGAATAGTATAGTGTGAGTAGGGCTGATTGTAGTACATAGTAACATATCTTTGAGAGGATCCCAACTGTTTTGGATACTTTTTTTTGTTGTGTGTTGGATATGGGTGTTGAATTTCAGGTTGCTTTTCAAGGTGCAGACCCAGGAATTTGTCGTCATTATGTTTAGCAATAAGAGTGTTATCAACCATAATGTTCAGCTAGGCATCACCTGTTCTGCTCCAAAACATGATGTAGAAGGTTTTGTCAATATTAGTGTAAGTTTATTGGCAGCTCTACTTCACCTAGTTTATAACTTCACAGGTTATTTTCATTCCCAAGGACTAGGACTTTACACTTGTCCACACTGAACTTTATCTGCCACTTTTCAGACTAAGACATTAATTTGTCCAAATCGTCCCGGAGTTCACTGGTATTCTCCTCAGAATGAATCATATCGCCTATTTTTGTAACATCAGCAAATTTGCTCATGTCACTTGCAATTCTTCATCAAGGTCATTAATGTAAATTATGAACAATAATGGACCCAAAACTGATCCCTGTGGAATGCCGCTAGTGACCAGTCCCCACTCAGATTTGACCCCATTAAAGGAAACTCTCTGCTAGAACTTTACCTCCTGTACCATGAGCTGCCACTTTTCTTACGAGTCTTTGGTGAGGTACTCTATTGAAGACTTTACTGAAATCCAAATAAACAATATTATATTCTTTATCACTGTCTACTGCCTCAAATGTTTTACTGAAGAATGTCAGTAAATTTCTTAGGCAGGAACAACCACTTGTGAACCCATGCTGAGATTCATTAATCAAATTATGCTCTTCAAGGTGACTTCTAATAATATCAGCTATAATTGATTCTAATAATTTGCCTATTCTAGACATCAGGCTTACTGGGTGGTAATTTGATGGAATGGACTTATCCCCTGATCTGAATATAGGAACTACATTAGCTATCTTCCACATCTCTGGCACAACACTAGTTAGGATGGATGCATTAAACACACTCATTAATAGCTGACTAAGTTCCATTTTGCATTCTTTAAGTGCCCTGGAAAACAACTTGTTGGGTCCCGGGGCTTATTTTGCTTCAGTTTATCTATCTGTTTGATAACCATGCCCCTCGTGACAGTAATATTAGTTAATTTGAATTCTTCAGGAACTGAATAACTGTTAATTTCTGGAATCTCGTTTGTCTTCTTGTATAAAGACCGATAAAATATAATCATTAAATAGAGAACACATTTCCAGTTCGTTATCCATTAGCTGTCCATTCCCAATTTTCAGAGGTCCTGCTTTTTCCCTCACCTTCGTCCTATACATTTGAAAGAACCCTTTTGGATTAGTCTTTGATTCATTAGCAACCTTAATTTCATAGTCACATTTAACCTTTCTAATCCCCTTTTTTACTTTTCTTTTAAACTGAACATATTGGCCAATAAGGTTAACCTCTCCTCTTTTGATGGGCCTACATATTCATCTTTTCTCTCCTAACAGATGCTTTAGCCCACTGTTAACCCATTTGTGATCCAAACTGGTTCTGAAAACTGTTAGAGAATTGCAACTGCTTATAGTAACTATGCCAAAACCAGCAGTAGCCTCAACTGATTCAGTGCTAAAATTAAGGTCACCTAGCAGGTGAAGCTGTAAAAAGAGAAAGAGTGACTGTTTTACGAATACAGTATAATGCTACACTATGAGTAAGCAATGCACAAAAGATTAAATTTTCTCCCAGAATTTGTAATAAATTATTACATGTACAGGAAGGACCCGCTTTACAGCATTTTGCTAATACAGTGGTTTTCAATTATACCCACTCTTCATTTATTTCGACTTCCTAAAATAAATATATTCACTACTTACTATAAGCTAATAATAACATTAATAATAATCTTTATTTCTACAAGTACATGTACAAGGTATACAGGTGTAGCCAAGATCAATGACATACTACTATTTAGAAAGCCCCTTGTTATGCACAGCATTTCAGGCAATTTATGTAAATTTTTTGGGGTTATCATAGGTAATTTGCAGTATGTATGATTATGCATGCCTGTGCCTAAATAAGAGCACAAGAAAGGAGCTGCAGCAGGCCTACTGGCACATGCTAGGCAGGTCCAAGTTGCATCCACTTAAGATGGAAGGAGCACTACAGTAGACACACTGGCCTAATCTAGTAAGGTCCAACTCACACCCACTTAGTAACTGACAAGTGAACAAGTTGCTGAGGTCGAATCTCGGCTCCTGGTCTCTTTTTTTATTTATTTATTTATTATTTGCACATGATACATAGTTGTACAAAAGAAATACAGTGGTTGAGTGTACATGCCTAAAGCCCCTTGTATGCAGAGCATTATGGGCAGGCTTAAAATTAACTTAAGATTAACCAAGCAATGATATATTCAGTGGTAAAAATACAGTAAACAAATGACAACATGAAGTACAAATGAGTATTTCAAATAAGAGGCTTTATAGTTGTACAACTACTGTGCAGTCTACATCTACAGGACCTTAAATTCCAATATTAACCTTGACCTAAAGCGCTTTCTTGATAGTTGTGACAGAACCCACAGGCATAACACCAGACACAAACATCTCTATGACATTCCCCGTGTCCGACTAAACCTTCACAAAAATTCAATGTATGTCAAAGGCCCTAAAATCTGGAACACCCTACCTGAAAATTCTAGAACTGCAGACACATTCATTACCTTGAAAACTACCATTAGAAAACATCTTATCTCCCTGATACACCCATCAACTAATTACACGAATACCACCTAGTGGTTCACACTTACACTCACTCACGTATTTGACCATAAACACAGAAATATCAATCTTAATCTTAAAATAATGAATCCTAACTAGTCATAAGTTGGCCTGTGATACTCCAATACTGAAACTATGTATTGTGCAAAACAAAAGCATTCATGTTGCTAAACTCACAAACTAGTATTTAGTCACTTAGCCATAATACCAACTTACCTCATAATTTGTAATGTTTTAAAGTTAAGAATTAATCTAAGTCTGCCCGAAATGCCTAGGCATGCTAGGTGTTCTAATGGCACCCTCTGTAATTAGTATTTTAAAACATGTAAACCACACATTATCCAAATTCTTGAGTAAACAGCATTTATAAGTCCGTAAAGGAGAATAAACTGATTTACTATGCTTGTGATGTGGAAATTGTTAACATTTGATGAGCCCTGGTTCGATTCAGAGAATGGGATATTCTATTTGTTAATGTGTAATTAGAAAAAGACATGGTTGTTAGGTCACATGGTAAGTGCCAGGGAGAAAATATAGGCCTAACGAGGGCTTGTGGCCTGGTGGCAAGCTCCGTATCCAACACAATGTTAGTGCTGTAATCGATTCCCACATGGTTATAACTTATCTTCAATTTTTTAAAGTTGTTGTCCTGTTCACCTAGTAGAACAAAGTACCTGGGTGTTAGTCGACTGGTGTGTTTCGATTCCTGGGGACAAGATTGAGGACCCTCAAATTGTTGACGGTTTCTTTAGGTTTATCCTGAGGTGGAACCCTCACGTTGGGTTACATAATCGAATAATCTATATCATTAAATTTAATGGTTATTATTGCAACCATAATTTTTAAACGACGTGGGTGGTACTGTAAGCCAGTGGAAGGGCCTCTCAGATAACCAAAAGCTCCAGCTGCGGGTCATCATACAACTAAGACCCGCGTCAGGAAACACCTTTTCCTGTTTCCTGAAAATCCTTACCTAATAACTTGGTTTACCTGCTTTAACTTTCAGAGTTTAAATAACAAGTCATTACAAGGACCCCAATGGAAATACGTCACTGATTTTCTGGGTTATCCTGGATAATTTACACATATGCTGCTAAGTATAATTTATGAAATTGTATTTTATGTGCACCTGAATAAACTTACTTACCTAATCTCACCTGGGAGAATAATTGTCACCAGAGTTCAGGACACAGAGAGAGAGTGACTTCCACATTACACTAAGACAGAAATAAACTGTACAAAGTTTAACTCGGACCTCATCAGTTGTGGCTAATGATCACCACAGTCAGAGCCGTATATATGTAGCACTAACTCCGGTTATCTGTACATAATTTGGTACATTTACCATTATTACATTAATTGATATACGTAAACTTGGGCCGGAAAGTTAAAGGAACCGACTTTCTTAAAAAAGAAAGCTGGAACTTACTCTTATCTTATTTTACCCACACATATACACTGACTTTTTTTGGGTTATCCTAGGTTCTCTACACACATGTTGCTAGGTGTTACAATACATTACAATTTTTATTTCTTTGCACCCCTCAAGGAAGGTTCCTTGATGTTGGTGAGGGGCTCTTGATTTAGGGAATTGGATCTGTGCTCCAGTTCCCCGAATTAAGCCTGAATGCCTTCCACATCCCCCCCCCAGGCGTTGTATAATCCTCCGGGTTTAGCGCTTCCTCCTTGATTATAATAATAATATTTCTTTGCAAGTTCTGTATAATCCTACGGGTTTAGCGCTCCCCATGATTATAATAATAATAATAATAATCTTTGCAAGTTTATATTGACATTCTGTGGCCTGGTGGCTAAAGCTCCCGCTTCACACACGGAGGGCCCGGGTTCGATTCCCGGCGGGTGGAAACATTTCGACACGTTTCCTTACACCTGTTGTCCTGTTCACCTAGCAAGTAAGTAGGTACCTGGGTGTTAGTCGACTGGTGTGGGTCGCATCCTGGGGGACAAGATTAAGGACCCCAATGGAAATAAGTTAGACAGTCCTCGATGATGCACTGACTTTCTTGGGTTATCCTGGGTGGCTAACCCTCCGGGGTTAAAAATCCGAACGAAATCTTATCTTAGTTGCAGTGCAAAGAGAGTCACTATCATCCCATGGCATTATGGCCAGACTAAATTAATGGTATAATAATCTATGTAACTGTATTTGTGTATACCTAAATAAACTTACTGAGTCAGTGACCGGCAGTCGTACAAAAAAATTCAGGAGCCTTCAGATTTTTAAAGAGGAATCGCTAAATCCACAGGGGTTACATAGAAGGCATTAAGGTTCGAGCTAAGGAAGGGGATAACGAGTCCAGTTCCGTGGATGAAGAGCCTCTCACCGGTATCACGGCACCAAAGATGCAAGGACCCAAATGGATTATTATTATAATCAAGGGGAAGCGCTAAACCCGTAGGATTATACAGTGCCTGTGGGGGGATGGAAGGTATTCAGGGTTAATTTAGTGAACCGGAGCACAGATCCAGTTCCCTAAATCAAGAGCCCCTCACCAGCATCAAGGAACCTTCCTTGAGGGAAGGACCCAAATGGAAATATTGAGGCTCCCAATAGAAATAAATCACTTTGACTTTTTTGGGGGGAGGGGGGTATCTTAGGTAATTTACGCATATGCTACGTATGATAATTTGTATAACTGTATTTATGTGTACCTGTACCTAAATAAACCTACCTACCTCTTTCAGATGTAACTTTTTTCTTTAGAGTATATCAGATTGATAAGTCCCTAGTTAGCTAAACGTTTCTCAAATAAAGATAACCAGATGTTGTATTTGTCTTATAAATTATCAAAAACACTGTAGATATATCTATTGGGTGAGCAGATGACCAAATAAGTTACTCAGTGTATCAGGCGGCCTTAACTAGAACTAAACTGTTAAAAACATTTTATTCTCAGCCAAGGTAGAAACATTGGGTGTTTTTTTTACACTGGTTATCTATGTTCACCCATCAGTAAAACCTGGGAGTTAGTTGACTGGTGTGGGTCGCATCCTGGGACAAAACTGACCTATTTTTTCCGAAATGCTTAACATAACAAGCAGCTTTCTATATACATGTAGTAGTATGTCATTGATGTCAGTTAGGGCTGTATACCTTGTACATGTACTTGTAGTAAATAAAGATGTTATTATTATGACTGATATACCATTCAACCTTGAAGGAAAGCAAGTACCTTAGACGGTGATGAAACAATCTTGACAGTATTCCCTTTCCTGACTCAATTTTGATAACATTCTGTCTCCCAGGCTCTGTATGACTCCTACAGGTTTTAACTACAGGAAAGCATTCACTTCACATGTTACATCATTCTTCTACCTCTAATGATTACAATAATACAGTATAGCACATTACCTTAAATATTGGCGAGTTAAAATACCGATAAGAAGGCTGCTGCAGCACATTTATCTAAATGTTTCAAGCAGTCATGATGATGCCTTAACATATCTGGCAATGGTTATCTTGGGTCGAAGTCCATCAAGGAAGGTTCCTTGATGCTAGTGAGGAAGGTTCCTTGAATTTACTGAGGAAGGTTCCTTGATGCTAGTGAGGAAGGTTCCTTGATGTTAGTGAGGAAGGTTCCTTTATGCTAGTGAGGAAGGTTCCTTGATGCTAGTGAGGAAAGTTCCTTGATGCTAGTGAGGAAGGTTCCTTGATGTTAGTGAGGAAGGTTCCTTTATGCTAGTGAGGAAGGTTTCTTGATGCTAGTGAGGAAGGTTCCTTGATGTTAGTGAGGAAGGTTCCTTTATGCTAGTGAGGAATAAGTAAGTAAATTTATTCAGGTATACACAAATACAGTTACATAGAATTATCATACATAGCAGCATATGTGTAGAGAACCTAGGATAACCCAAAAGGAAGGTTTCTTGATGCTAGTGAGGAAGGTTCCTTGATGTTAGTGAGGAAGGTTCCTTGATGTTGGTGAGGAAGGTTCCTTGATGTTGGTGAGGAAGGTTCCTTTATGTTAGTGAGGAAGGTTCCTTTATGTTAGTGAGGAAGGTTCCTTGATGCTAGTGAGGAAGGAGGTTCCTTGATGCTAGTGAGGAAAGTTCCTTGATGCTAGTGAGGAAGGTTCCTTGAAGTTAGTGAGGAAGGTTCCTTGATGTTGGTGAGGAAGGTTCCTTTATGTTAGTGAGGAAGGTTCCTTGATGTTGGTGAGGAAGGTTCCTTTATGTTAGTGAGGAAGGTTCCTTGATGCTAGTGAAGGGTTGATAGCGCACTCGGGTAAAGTGTCCGTGGTTCGATCTCCGGTACAAGTAGAAACATTGGGCTTTTCACTCTCCTATGTGCGAGTTATTTGTGCATTGTTCCAGTCATTGTATTCTGCCTTTTTGTTCTATGTTTCCTTAAAACACCTGTTGTCCCTGTTCACCTAGCAGTAAGTAAGTACCTGGGTGTTAATCGACTGGTGTGGGTCGCATCCTGGGACAAACCTGACCTAATTTGTTCGAAATGTTCAGCATAAACAAGGGTTTTCTATATAGTATGTCATTGATGTCAACTATGGTCTGTATAAGTTGTATCTATTAATATTATTAAATACGTACTTGAATCAATCCTGAATGCCTTGCATTTCCCCAGGCACTGTATGACTTACGGGTTTAACGTTTCTCCCATGAAAATAATAATTATGGGACAACTAAACCCATAGGAATTATACAGCGTATGTAGGGAGGGGGATGGAAGGCACTGAGGCTTATTTCAGGGAATTGGTGCACAGCTCAGATTCCCTAGATCAAGAGCCCCTCTTATTCCCTTCCTTGAAGGGTCAAAGTACAATACTGTTTTTATTCCCATTTTCCCGAAATATGTCTTCATTACACAACTCAATTAATAAAGGAGAATTTACATAATCAAAAAATTGAGTCGCTAAACTCGTTCTTGGCCATTTTCTGAACATTTGTCACAAGTTCCTTGGGCACATCAGACGTGAAAAAAACTATTTGGAATATTAACCCTAGGGGCATTGTAACCCAGTACAGGCCCCTCAAAGGAGGTTCCTTGACGCTGGTGAGGGGCTCTTGATCTAGGAAATTGGATCTGTACTTCAGTTCCTTGAACTGAGCCTAAATACCTTCCATCCCCCCCACATGCGCTGTATAATCTTATGGGTTTAACGCTCCCTCATAATTATAATTATAACCCAGTACAGCCAATCAATGTAACTTATTTCCATTTTTTTTTTTAGATCCTTCGTCATGATGCTACCCACAAGGGCCCGCAATAGAAATGTCGCTGATTTTTCTGGGTTATCCTATGTATATGATAATTCTACTTCTGTATATCTGTACCTAAATGAACTTACTGACACCCCTCAAGGGAGGTTCCTTGATGTTGGTGAGGGGCTCTTGAACTAGGGAATTAGATCTGTGCTCCAGTTCCCTGAATTAAGCCTTCTCATCCACCCCTACAGGTGCTGTAAAATCCCTACAGGTTTAGTGCTACACATAATAATAATAATTGCTAATAGCTGAGTAACTCCCAAGCATCTACTTACTGCTAGGTAATAAGCGTGGTGGATGCTTGGAGACTGACACATGTCCCACCTCGTGTGGGTCTTGACTCCTTCATCCCCTCACTAGTGAGCCAGAGTACTAACCTCTGGGTTATGAAGTGCTATACATAAGGCAACGTTGACAACCACATGCACATTCTGCTCATCTTTCTAAACCTGTACTTTTTGTTGTTCTGTTGGGCACATTATTTTTATTATATTTATGGGGAAGCACTAAACTCGTGGGGGTCATATTATGCCAGGGAAAAGTTAGGTAATCATGTTAGATTCAGCGATTAAGAGGAATGATTGGCATAGGAGGAATAATTGGGGGACTGATTAAGTTTTTTACAATGTAAAAAAATGTACACAGAAGGAAGAGTACGTATATGGAAAGAAAAAACAAGGTAAAATGAGTGGTGAGGGAGTGCAAAAGATGAGCCAATGGAGAGAATAAGTTAAGTCTTCAGCAGCAAATTTTGTTGAGAATAATAAATAGGTTTGAGAGAGATTAACAAGTTGATAAAGTCTGGAGAATAAATCAACTTGCCAGTTAAAAATGAGAGAGAAAGATGTTAAATGAAGAGGAGGTACTGAGAAGGTAATGTTATGAGTTGTTATATGTTAATGATAAGAGGACATCAGTGATATGCCTTAGGTAGGGAATAGTTGTACATATGGCAGAAATAAGGAATAGCAAGTGGTGAATGTGAGAACATGCATGAGACAAGGGGTAAAATGAAAAGGGGTGATTACATCACAATTCGAAGGACCCTCTGAACTAACATTCACATCCTTCAGAGTGCAGCACTGTACCTCTGCCCTTAAGTACTCAAATTCAGCTAACTTGTTTCCCTGAATTTCTTCATATATGTTACCTTCCTCACACTCCAACAGCTTGTATTCCTTTCTTGCTTATTTATCCAGTACTCTCCCAAAAGCTATATAATCACTGGTAACAACACTGAACTGAGTTACAATAAAGCAAATTGTTTTCTGCAAACCACAGCTAGGGCTGTTGTCAATCTTCTTCCCTCCACTGTTGGGTTTGGGAAACTACACTCTTATGATTACAAATCAAGGCACAATACTCATACATTGGTATCACATGAAGAAACATCTGCCACCTCACTGCAAGGACTGCCAAATTACAATGTCAATTCCATATATTAACATTGTCATATCTTTCAGAAAGCATACACAATTCACTTCTGACATCTACAGCACTAATACCTGCTTTAACTGACCTCTTTGTACTAGGTCCCACCTTCAACATAATCACTTTTTTTTTTAACGGAGACTATGCCTTCAACGTTACACCCACACCCCTGCCCACGGCACTGTATACTGTATCCAGACAGGTTTAGCATGTTTAGAATATTAATCCAAGAGCGTGCTAAATCACTAAAGCCACTCGTCTTCATTTGCCTTAACCACATCTCCTTGGTCATCCTAATCTACTCCATCCTCTCTTAATGCCTAAACCACTTCAACATCCCTCTTCTGCCCTCTGAATAACACCTTTCATAATCCTACATCATCTGCTTTTTTGTCTTCAAGATTCTTTACACAATATTCATATCACACATTGCTCTAAACATATCTCTGCCTCCAACATCCTCTTTGCGGCATCATTTAAAGCCCATGCCTGACACTCTTATAAAAGGATTGATAACAATGTACTCTGGTACATTCCTCTTTTTGCCTCCATATTTATTCTAAACTGTTGTATCTGCGTGCCTCTGCAAAGATAGTAATTATGTATGAGTGAGGTGAAAGTGTTGAATGATTAAAATATTTTCTTTTTGGGGATTTTTTTTTTCTTTCTTTTTGGGTCACTACCTTGGTAGGAGACGACCAATGTGTTGAAAAAAATTATTATAATCACAGGGGAGCACTAAACCTGTAGGATTATACAGTGCCAGGCTTAATTCAGGTAACTGGAGCACAATTCCCTAGATCAAGAGCCCCTCACCAGCATCAAGAAACTTCCCTCGAGGGGTTTTACCTCCATAGATGTGCTCTCCCCACATTCCTCAACACCACCTACAGCACCTTTTCCCTCCCCTTAGTCTACTGTTTCACCTTATCTTTCATGGACTCTCCTATTGATATATTACTCCCAAATACATCGACACACTTACTTCCTCCATATGCCCTTCCAATCTGACATTCAATTTTTCATTGTCTTAACAATTTTGTTATTCTTATCACCTTGCTCTTTTGTTTACTCTTAATTTCTTTCTTTATACACCCACCCAAACTGTATGGGTCATACTGTGCCTGGAGAACTGGAGGTTGAGTTTTAGCCAAGCAAGGAGAGAGCAGTAAAAGTCCTTGGATGAAAAACCCTTCACTAGCATCAAGGCACCTCCCTCAAAGATATTTTCTTTGAAATAACTCCCAACTCCACAACTCTCAATCTTTTTAATTATTGCTATAATCATGGGGGAGCACTAAACCCATAGGGATTATACAGTGCATGTAGATACACAAATAACCCGCACATAAAAGAAAGAAGCTTACAACGACGTTTCGTGGTGCTCTCCTTCCTGCTCTTGTTAGTCTGTTTTCCAAGAATCACCACCTTCCTACGCCGTTACCAACTTGCCTTTCTTCTCTTAAAATCCAACACTAACATTGTCCATAACTAATCCTTTCCGACAAAGGTAATTCGTAGCTTATCCTTGATCGGCGAGGTTTACCTCCGTAAAGCTGATGTCTTACTCTCTGACTCACGCACCTACACTCCTCTCGTTTCCAACCCTCTTGATCGCATCAAGAGAACTTTCAACAAAAAACTAAGGACTCTCTCCAACTCTCAGTCCTCCTGACTTTTGACCTTGTTTCAATGGTTTCGTGTCATCTGTCCCTCTCTTC